TTAATTGAACCAAAATTACAATTCATGTGATCTGTTTGCAGGTTTTGTTAAGCTTTCAAAGAAGTTGAGTAATTTGGAAATCCTCAACTTGGAAGCAAATTTCTTCAATAACAGCATTTTGCCATTTTTAACTGAGTTTTCATCTTTTAGGTCTCTAAATCTAGGTGAGATAACAAGTTCCAAGCATTTGACCATGCTAATGGTATGATTGTCCATCTCTTCTTCATCCTTGTTCTAGTGAAAATTGGTATCCCCTTTCTTTTAACAAAATCTGACATCTTGATGTTCTTATTCTTTCTCTTTGATTGCTTGTGTTCTCTTCGATCAATTTCCTTTTATCTTGTTACTTTTTTTGAGTGCTTCAAATTTCTCTCTTGAATGCAAGTTAGGCCAATGATTGAACCTTGCCCCTGCTTTCTTTTGATCAAAGTCCTCGTTCAGAGTAGTAGATGCAACAAGGGGGAGGAAGAAGAGCGTGTAGAGGAGAAAGGGACAATAAACAGTTGAAGAAAGGAATTTTTGTATGCTCTGATATAGTTTTTCTTTCAATTTTTTTTTTTTGGACGAAAGCTTAGTGATTTTGGTGAATCAATTCTATTTTTAATTTTTGTGATCCTCAAAACCCCAAAATTTTGGCACTCTTCATGTTTGGTGGAGATAGAAATTGTAGAGTGAAGGGATTGAATGACGAAATCAGGAAGAGGAAGGCTAAGGAAGTAAAGTGGGAAGGGGTCTTAGACTAAAATGTTGTCATTCTATTAATTGGGTTCTGCCTAAAAATTGACAATAAAGGCTAACCCCAGTTTATTCATATATATATATATGGCTCCAAAATTGAATTAGTAATTGTATGTATGACAAGTTTTGAGAAGCTTCAAAGTTGACAAATCAAGAAATCCTTAATCCAACTTACAATAAGTTGAACAATAGTATCTTAAACATCTGAGTGAACTTCCATTTCTCAAGTCTCTATATTTAGGTGACAACAAATTCCAAGCATCTAACCATGTTGACAGTATAGTTATCATTTTTTGACTTATAGAAACCTATTTCCAAAACTAAATTAATAATTGTACGTATTGCAAATTTTGAGAAGTTTTCTAAGTTGAGGAGTCTAGAAATTCTTGATTTACAAGGCAATCAATTGAATAATAGTATCTTAATATCCTTGAGTGAGCTTCCATCTCTCAAGTCTCTATATCTAGGTAACAACAATTTCCAAGCATCTAGCCATGCTGATGGTATAGCTGTCCATCTTTGGTTTATAGAAACCCATTTTCTTATTGTTTCATTTTAATATATATAAGACTCTACAACTGAATGAGTAATTGTACATATTGCAGGTTTTGAGAAGCTTTCTAAGTTGAGGAATTTAGAAATTCTTTATCTAAGCTCCAATCAGTTGAACAAAGATATCTTAACATCTTTGAGTGAGCTTCCATCTCTCAAATCTCTCTATCTAGGCAACAACAATTTCCAAGCATCTAACCATGCTAACGGTATAGTCGTCTATCTTTGGTTTATAAAAAACCATTTTCTTATTGATGCCGAAAGGTCCAATCCAAGGTAGAGAAGAAGATGGTCATATTGATATAGAGGTATTCTGTGTGAGTTTTATTGTGTCAGACATAATGCGGTTGGTAACTATTGCTGCAGTTCTCTACATAAACCCTTATTGGAGGCAGGCTTGGTTCTATTACATTGAGATGTGCTTCAATTCTTGCTACTATTTTATGGTGGATCACCTA